AGTTTTAAGAATAATTTTACCAAATTTAATTTGTTTTTTCGTTATGCCTAACACTTAAAGTTTTTTAAATGAGACCCTTATGACATGTTTTAGATGAGACCCTTATGACATTTTTATAGGGAGGGGATCTTCTACCCTCTTTCCATTGCACTGGTAGCTATAATTTAGATTTTATCAATGCCTAATGTTTTTATATGATATATAAAAACATTAAGCATTATATATATGATATATAATACTTATAAAGATACTGATAAAAAGTTGTTTTGTATTGTTTTGTAAATTTTTATTAGAAACTTTTATTTCTAAACTTTTCTTATGGTATTATCTATGGCCGTCACCACCGGTGTTGACGGCCCCCCAACTTTTTTTTAGGATAACTATATTTTTCTTTACAAAATAATAAACAAAATTTTCTTTACAAAATAATAAACAAAATAATAAGTATTTATTATTTTGTTTTTTAGCATTATTATTTAGGTTAAAAATTATTTAATCTAATATTTTGAAAGAAAAACTTATAACAAAAGAAATCAAAATACACGTGGTCTAGACGATTATTTAAAAAAAGTTGCGCAAGTAAAATACTATTTTGTTTTTTATTTTATTTTTGTTTTTAATTTTATTTTGTTTTTAATTTTATTTTGTTTTTAATTTTATTTTGTTTTACAAACACATTTTAGAACTTTAAAATACAATAAAAATGAATATGATTTGGAAATTGTGTATAAAAAAAACAATCGGTGTTTTAAACAAACAAACAAAAAAATCTATGACGTCATGCACTAAAACTCCTATGAATTAAACGCGCTTGAATAAATTATAAAGTCTGTATAATGCGCCTGGAAAATTGCGTTTATTTTACATACTCAAAATACCAGAGAAAACGGAGAAGACGAGCTTCGACTAAAACAACAAGATTTGTTTTTCTTGGTATATCATTTATTAATTAGTTTTAATCAAAAAAAATTTGCTCAGACCTTTTTTTTAACATTCTCTTTAATATAAACACAACATGTCTCGGGACTTGGTAGTCCCTTTAAAGACTTTTGGAAAATCTTTAACAGCATTATTAACAAGGGTAGATCTAACATTCCATCTCTCATTCATAGGACTGATCTTATTACCTCTCCCAAGGATAAGGCAGGACTATTTGCAAAGAACTTTTCTTCTAATTCCACTCTTGAATCTTATGGACATTCTCTTCCTTCCAGATTCTGTAGTTAAAGTCATATCTCAATTAAACTTATCTACAGCTTGTGGTCCAGACAACATTTCTGTCACAGTCTTGCAAAATTGTTTTCCAGAACTTTCTTCAATTCTCTCTAAACTATTTAACAAGTGTTTGACTGAATCTTGTTTTCCTACTTGTTGGAAAATGGCATCTGTAGTTCCAATATTCAAAAACTCTGGAGAAAATTCTGACCCCTCCAATCATCGTCCGATCAGTCTTCTTTCTGTTATTAGCAAGGTCTTTGAGTCTTTGATCAACAAATTCCTCACATCTCATCTTGAGTCAAATAAACTACTGTCAGACATTCAATACGGTTTTTGATACTCTCGCTCTACGGCCGACTTGCTAACTGCTGTAACTGAAAGATTTTATCGTGCATTAGATGGAGGCGGTGAGGCTAGGGCTTTTTGCTGATGACTCAACTTTATACTCCTGTCTTGACAAAAAGTCTTCTCTTTTTGATCGCCTAGAACAAGTAGCTGATCTTGAATCCGATCTCACTTCAGTAATAGATTGGGGTTCACAGTGGCTTGTGAATTTCAATTCTAACAAACCCAGTTGTTTACTGCAAACAACTGTCGTAATATGGTCAACATTCCTATATTAATGAATGCCAATCCTCTTACTGAGTCCTCCTCTTTACCTCTTCTTGGATTATCACTTACTACTGACCTTTCATGGAAACCATATATACAATCGATTGCTAAATTAGCTTCTGCTAAGGTTGCTTCTCTTTATCGTGCTCGCCATTTCCTCACTTCCGATTCCCTTCTCTACCTCTACAAATCTCCTATTCGTCCCTGTATGGAATACTGTTGTCATATTTGGGCTGGTTCTTCTGACAATTCACTTTCTCTTCTTGACAAGGTCCAAAAACGCATTGTAAATGTTGTTGGACCTGGACTATCTGCTAAGCTTGAGCCTCTCTCCCATCGTCGTAAAGTTGCATCTCTTTCTCTTTTCTACAAATACTATCATGGTCACTGCTCAAAGGAGTTATCATCTCTAGTTCCATCAACTAATATTCATTCTCGTTTTACTCGTCATTCAGCTAAGTCTCATTCGTTTACTGTATCTGTCCCTGCATGCTCAAAAAACTTTTATTCATCTAGTTTTTTTTCCCTTTTTCACTTCAATCCTTTGGAACTCTTTCCCATCTTCATGTTTTCCTGACTCATACAACCTTCCTTTTTTTTTTAACTTCAACTTCAACAAGTCTTCTGTCAACTGTTTCCTTGCTCTATAACTCTGTTCTTTTCTTTTCCTAGTAACTCCCGACTTAATAGTGGTTGCTTGTAGCCTTGTTGGGAGTGAATGCAAATAAAATAAAAAAATAAATATTGGAAGCAATATACAAGAGCAAATATAACTTTGTTTTAACCTCCTTTTATTCTTAACTTTTAATTTTGATAACAACCATATAAACAAGAAGTCTCTATAGCTTTATTGATAGTTTTACAACTCAGTTATAAGTATGGTTTTGTCTTGCAGCAACAATAAATTTATGTTAGATGAGAATGTATATCCTAACTAAATCTAGTGTTCACATACTGTTTCAGCAATTAAAGTAATGAACATTTTTATCCAATGATAGACACTTGTTTTCATAATAAACAAAACATGACAAGATGTTTTGCATTATTATATTCAAAAACAAAAATTTTTGTTTATTATTTTCTATAAAAGATCATTTTAATTTTATAAATCAATTTTCTGACAGATTTAAGCTAACAAATTTAATGGGAATAATTTGTATGAAATGATCTTAATTTTTTGAAGTTAAAGTTGTGATCAGATCCAAAACTTATATTTAAGACACACACATGTCAATTTAAGACCTTTTTAAGGCACACACAAGCTAATTTAAGAAAAAAAAGTAGTTTTATAAATTTCCTCCGGAAACTCATTTGTTGAGTGAAATTTATTTAATGATTTAATAATGATTATTATATTATTATCACTACTATTATTATAATATCATTATTATTATACATAATAAATACTTAGTATAATTATATCTGCTCTCTATCAAATTCAAAAACTTTTAGTCACAGTATGCTTGTTAGACCGCTAGCTTTGTAACTTAGTTTTCTTTTTCTTTTTATAACTTAAATAATTTACAACTCTCGCAGCTTAGTAAGTCCAAGTAGTGAACTCTAATCTTAAATTAAACTTCAAATCAAATTCACCCAAAAGCAGATTTAAATTTTACTTGAAACTTACTTAAACTTTAGTTTAATTGATTATTGTTACTGACTCCATGTAAATTATTGCACCAAAATTTTTAACAATATTAAATACTTTTAAAAATACTATATTTACAAAAAAAATATATAGGTGGTAGAAATCTTCTTTTTTGTATAATTAACTGCACTTAACCAATATTTCAATCCTAATTTATGTATGTTTGGTTGTGAAGAATTGAGATATTAATATTAATTTCTTTTAAAAGAAAGAAGTACAAAGGAATGTCTGACTAATAAATTGTTTCAAATTAAAAAAAAATAGTCTCAGTTAATCAATTGCTTAATTTATAACATAAATAAAAAACTCTTCCATATAAAAAGATCTGTCACAAAGCGAACTTAAATTTGGCTTACCTTTTGACAGATCTTTTTGCAGATCTGCACATTAAAAAAGAAAAAAGTCATAATTTAAAAACGATAATTTTGAGACAGATAATTTTGCAGATCTGCACAAATTAATAAAGAAAAGAGACATAATTTAAAAATTTTCCCTAAGAACTGGCTTGTTGCATTTAGCAGACAATGGAAGCATAGGCTGATCAAGTTAATATTTATCATTTTAAAAAAGGCAGAGCAGAGAAACTTACACATCAAAAATTTTGTCAAAACTAAATTGCCTTGAAAGCTGACCAAGAATGCATGGATATATTCAATAACACTATTTCCCTGAGAATAATCTGAAACTGCATTAATAAACTCTAATACAAAAAAATAACTTTAAGCAAAAACTGGGGTGTATTTAGCTGCAAAAGATTTAAAGGCTGAGACAAATAATTAAAAATAGGAATACAAAAAAAGCAAAAAGAAAGAAACAGCAGCATTGATTAAGCAGATAATATTCAGATAAAAGAAAGTGTTGTTGAATAACAAAAGCCAAAAAGAACAGTAACAAAGTTAGTGTTAAATAATGAAAACTGACAAAGAATCAATTTATTCCTCAGAAGATGAAAATTATGTACCTAGTTTAATTAAACATCATTGAAAAGTTTCATTGTAAAAAATGCGTAGAACAGCTGTTTAAAGTCAATGTATTTTATAAATTAAAATAAAAATCATAGCAATAATTTTTTTCATTTTATAAAATGAAACAAAACAATGATGTTTATGAGTAACTTTTTTTTCACAAGTTTAAAAATGCTGTTGGTTGTGTGTTTGTTTTTTAAAGTTTTAGGTTTTATACTGTTAAAAATAGTTGTATGTAATTTGTTAAAATCTTATCTGTAATTGTCAATATAAAAAATAATCAGCAAATAAATTCAAATCTCATTTAAAAGGTGAAATTATTCCTAAGATAAAATATTACAAAGTAATAGTTCAACAAATTACTACAAAGTAATAAATTAATACATTATACTGTAACAATACTATTATTAATAGTATATTTGAAATATTACGTTTATGTTGATTTATAGGATGCTGTGCAATTGGTATTGTAATTTTAACAGAGTTTGTAAAGTGAATTACAAGTGAAAAGTGGGGTAAAAAAATAACAACAAACAAGAGTAAAAAATAATTAAATATAAATATCAAGCTCTCAATGGTTTATTCATGAAAAAATTGTATTGAAATGAGGTATTAAAGTTAAATTATTTATTTCTTGTTATGTGCACTCAATTGGTGACAAATTTAATTTGTCACGTGGTAAAGCATAAGATGCTTGTCTAACTGGATAAACTAGTTATTAGTGCTAATCTTCATCAAAATGCCAGTAAACGCCATAGATGCGACTCTGAGAAGATGTTTATTACTCAACCACTACACAAGTTATTTCAGAATTGTAAACCGAACAATTTCATAAATAATGTCTTTCATAATCTAACCCATTCAAATGGATTAGGCCACTATGGATTCTCATAAAACGATTGTGACCAGCACTATGAAACCTGGTTAACAGGTCTAGAAATGCTATTGTGAAGCATCTTGTGTAGGCGGTATGGCTTCTCCTAAACATTAGTTTTTTGAAAATAAGTCTTTTTTGGATTCATTTACACTACTGTAAGAACTTGTAGTATCATATTGTAGCAAATCTTTCAATTAAGTGAAAAATACTATTGATATCATACTCCAAGGGGTAAATAGATGTTGATTGCAATGCATTAAGGAGAAAATTTTCACACGATTTCCAAAAAAAGTTTTTTTTTTTCAGAAAAAAATGCAACTTGATCATAACCTATCATTGTGTAAAGGAGGTAAGCATTGATGTTTTAAACTAAGATATTTTACAATGACTCAAAAAAATAAACTAACTCTATATTTTAACAATATATTATAACAAAATATTCTATTAATTATTAATAATATTCTATAAATTTCTTGTAAAATTATGTACATTGCTATTTTCTTTAAAAAAATAATAGTAATCTATTTTTGCATGCTAACTTTGTAAAATTTTTCCACCTCAATTAATAACGTTTTAAGGGTTTGTAACTTTTTATCAGTTAACATTTTCTACATCTCAATCATGTTTAATCTAAAAATCTCTTACTCTTCCTTGTTTAGAATACTATATTTCAGCTGTTCTTTTAAAGCCCCCTTCCTTTAATTCACTCTCTTTTAGATAAGGTCCATTGACATTGAGTCTACATCCGATTGTCATATGTTTGACATTGAGTCTACATCCGATTTTCATATGGTTGACATTGAGTCTACATCCGATAATCATATGGTTGACATTATACATATGGTTGACAGTCTACATTTGTTTGTATTATTGTTAAATTTTATTCTCTTTTCTTTAAATAGTACTCTAGCCACTGCTTAAAATAAACTATGATCATTTGTTTAATTAACCAAAATTAAATCTTTTATATCTTTTAGATGAGTCCCATTATTTTAATGTTATTATTCCATCATGCTCAAATTACATCTATCCATTTAGTTTTTTTCCTCATTGCTTTAGGATTTCTTTAGTACTTTAGAATTTCTTGTACTCATCTACTTATTTACTCAGTGCTTTAGAATTATTTCTTGTCTTTATGTTTCCCTGACAATTTACAGTATGAATCTTCTGCTAACTGTTTTCTTTACTATATTATGCATACATACATTCTGTATATGTGCCTAATGTAGTATTTAAAATAAATTTAAAAATATTTACGTGCCTAATATAGTATTTAAAAAAAAACTTTAAAAATTTATGTACCTAAAATCCATAGTAAACCAGTACTACCAATCGTTCTGTACCCAGGTAACAAATATCCTATGATAATTTTTTACTTTTTTAACACAAAAGAAGATTTTTTTAACTTTACAAAAAAGTTAGAAAAAATAATCAAATAAATAATCAAATATAACAAAAATAAAAATAATATATATATATATATATATATATATATATATATATATATATATATATATATATATACATATATATATATATATATACATATACATATATATATATATATATATACATATATATATATAAATATATATATATATATATATATATATATATATATATATATATATATATATATATAATTTATAACTATAAATTAGTAGAAAATCACTTGATAAAACTTTTTTTCATTTAACACTTTATTGATGTGTTTCATCAATAAAGACTCATTAGAAAAGAAAAGATTAGATATTTCTGTTGTTAAATGAGTTAAATGTATTGTGTTAAATAAAAAAATTTTGTCAAGTGATTTTCTACTAATTTATATATATATATATAAATATATATATATATATATATATATATATATATATATATATATATATATATATATATATATATATATATATATATATATATATATATATATATATATATATATATATATATACACACATATATAAAAATGCAGCATTAGAATCACCGAAATGACGTCATAAAAACAGGAAGTTGTTGGGGGCATAAGTATATACATCAACTGACAAACAGCCTGACTCGCAGCGGAGTGCTGCAAGATCAACTGAGGGTTTGGCATAAGGCAGCAATGTCAAAATATTATTGAAATTTTGACATATTACAGTTATTGCATAAGTATATTACATGTATTTATGATATAATATGTATATTTTTACAAATCTTTTCAAATTTTATCTAGGATTTATTTTATAAACACTTTCAATAGCGAAAAATTTTTTGCGCAAAAATAAATTAATAAATAAATATGTTTTTTTTAATATCAAATTTAATAGTGTAATGAAAAGTAGTTTCTATAAGCATTAAATTAACTACAGGGTGTAAACAAAGGAGTAAATTTGATACAGGATTTCTAACAAAATAGGGAATTTGTCAAAATAATTTTTAATCTTTCCCCTCCGTCTTCCCCCACCCCATCCCTGCCTAGAGTAAAATGTGTTTGTGGGGTCTTTTTATTTTTTTTGTCTTTTTCTACTCTTAATAAAAAATACTGTAACATTTATTGAATATGATGAATATGAAATCAACACAAAATTAAATTGGCTTAAAATAACGCAGCAAATTAAACTTTGATTATTAAGAATAATATATTTTTATATTATTTTAATCAGTATACATTAATTATTATTAAGAATTATATATTTGATTTGATTTTATCCATAATATATCATTGCTGCTTTCATTTTAATAGTATTTATATATATATATATATATATATATA